GCAAAATTAGTCGCCTTCGTCAGGAATGTCCTTCTGATGAATGTGGTGCTGGCGTTTTTTATGGCCAGCCATTTTGATAGACATTACTGTGGCAAGTGTTGTCTGACCTATTGCTTCAATAAACCAGAAGACAAGTAATTGTGTGTGAAGTAATAAAAGACGTGAACTAACCAAAAAGAAAAAAAAAAAAATTAGGGCATAGTCAAAAGTTATTACTAAACTTATTACTAAAATGAACTTCTAAAATTACACTAACCAGTGTGGTAGCCTTAGCTACATGAGGCTATATACACTTAAATTGAAATGAATTAAAATTAGATAATATTTAAGCTAAGCTATAAGCATGACTACCATATCAGACTGTGTAACTGTATATTTCCAGTGTTGCAGAAAATTTTGTAAGATACCATTGTTTTAGAAGTTTTCATTTAGTTGGTAATAATTAAGTTTCTTAAAGATTGACTTAAACAGAGCTTCCAAAGAAATTACTTGTTTTTGCAAATATTTTCCCAAGTTTATCATTTTAAGATGTTTTAATAAATATTTTCACCTAAACAAATTTTATATATACACAAATTTGTCGGTCTTACCCATTATAATTTCTGGGTTTTATGCCTGTCTTGGAAAGATCTTCGTTATTTAGAAATGATTTAAAAGAAACAAAACAACTCTTACATTCTTCTGGTATGTATGTATATATATATATATTCACACTTTTTATTGTGAATTGGGAGAAGATTTGTACAGCACATTGTAAGGTTTACATTTAACAAATCATGTGCTTGGTTTCATTTTAATGATTGCATTCCCCTCCATGAGCCATCACTTATCCTGCTTCTTCCTGTGATTCTTGTTTCCATTCCACCTTCTTTCCCAACTGTTCTGATTTTATACTTAGCTAAATGCTACTCTTTTGATCTTTAATGATTGGCCCTTCTGTGTTATGCATACCTCACTAGTGTTGTCCCTGCTATAGACCTCTCTAATGTTGGGTTGAAAATTGAGCCACGAGGGTGAGTTCAGTTTCAGACCTTCAGGGTGATCCAGGGTTCTTCCAGTCTTTTTCTCACCAGAAAGCCTGTTTTTGTGTGTGTGTGTGTTTAAATAATTTTGAGTTTTGTTCCACATTCAAATAAATTACTTTGTAAATATGGATATAACCTTTTCCTTAAAAAGTCAAAGCATCTAAGTTAAATAAAAAGACATTTGGGGGTTAGCACTCCATTTTAGAATTACTGTTATATCAAAGATCAAATGACATTATATTTATTGGGTAAGAAATCTAAAAAGCCATTTTTCTCCCCTACCACACAAAAGTTTACCTAGCTTTACAATAAATTGTTCTGACTGCAATCAACTTGATTTAGCCCCAATATAATAGATATAAAATATGAAGAGGTTAGTGAAATGTCATTTCAATTACTGAAGGAGAGTAATATAATCTTTCTCATTTTTTAATTGAAGTAATGTGCTAACGATTGTTTTACCAATTGTAATAAAGACCTTCTGAATCAGTTGTTATATTTGCTTTTAATACATTCTGCTTTGTTTCTAGGCCAGGAGCATGCCTTGTGGTTTCTGGTCCCGGTCTCATCCACGCCTTGGGTGGTATGGCCAATGCAAACATGAACTGTTGGTAATCAAATCCTCATTATTGAAAACCTTCTCTTAAAATTGTCACTTACTGAGTGGAGCAAGCACTCATCTGAGTTGGGAATGGCTGCAGGGAATGGCTTAAGTTAAAGCCGCAGTACTTAATTTCCTCATCCTGGTGATGCTTTCTTAATCTTATCTGATGCAGACTTCATGGAGATAATTAAAACTGTTTTTTGTGGTCAAAAGCAGAGACATAAAATTCTCAGAAGATGAATAAAAGTTAATATCAGTATTTCTGCCTCACATCCTTTTAAAGTCTCTGGAACCATAGACTTTAGAACTCTAAGGGCTACTGGAGATTTCCCTTCCCTATATATTATAGATGACGAATTGAGGCTCAAAGATATTAAATGGTATCTATGTATTGTTGCTGATTCTTTTTTTCTTCATGAAGCAATTGTACATATATAATAAAAATAAAAGTCTACTGGGTGTGTATAATACATAGATACTTTTTATTTGTACATATGTTTTTTAAACCAATTTGGAAATAATTTCAAACTTACTGAAAAGTTTCAAGAATAAATATAAATAGTAAAAAGACTGCTTGCATATAATTTTGCTGGGTTTCACTTATTGTTAACATATCATTTGCTTTATCATTTGTTCTGTCTGGAGAGATAGATACACAGATAGATATTTAGGTAGGTAAGTCAAAAGCAAACCCAACCAAACCCACTACTGTTCTGACTCATCCAAACCCAAAGCAAACTTATGGCCATCAAGTTGATTCTGATTCATAGCAACTCTTTGTGGAGAGAGTAGATCCCAGGTGGTATTGTAGGATAAGCACTGGACTGTTAACTGCAAGGTTGGCAGTTCAAACCCACCAGCTGCTCCATAGGAGAAAGATGAGACTGTTTGCTCCCCAAAAGATTTACAACCTCCTTAAATTTGGATCATTTGTTGGATTTATATTTCTTTAGGAAATATATCATTTTTGACTAATTTATTTTGTCTGCTATTGTGCTTCAAGATAAGCAGAAATCCCTTTTATTGCATCATTTTGTTGTTTAATTATACTCTTTTAAGATATGATTGTAAAGAATTTCTGGAAGGCAAGGCATAAAAAACCCCATAATTTATTGAGTTAGAAAAAATTAGTTGTAAAATTTTAAAACAAAATATATTTTTCCAAACCATGTTTTTTGGAATTTAAAATTACTCAGTTTAGTTTATTTCATGAGCAGTTTAGGTTTGTGATACCCTTTTTATCATCCTTGAAAGGTAAGAATTTTGTTGCTGAGGAATATCACTTTTCCTATCATTTCCAAATAGTCTCACATAGGAAAGTATAAAATTTCTTCTGTCCTTATCTTAGGAATAATAGGAAGAGAACAAAAATTCATTTTATATCACCCAACTTAGAAGTTAGGACCAACATCACAAAAAAAGGACAAAGGAAAACCAGTTTTTATAGATTTCTTTAAAAGAAAGGTTATTGTATCAGGTTGCTTTCTAAATCTTTATCTACAGTCTTGAAGAAAAATGTAATTGTTTTTTTTTTTTTTTAAATTAATCTTTCAGGCCCTTGATTGTGATTGGTGGTTCCTCTGAACAAAGTCAGGAAACAATGGGAGCCTTTCAGGAGTTCCCTCAGGTACCCACCTCTAAGACGTTTCCTCTGGTCTGCCAGCACATTATGAGTTATAGGAAAGTAATAAAGAAAAGTCATGCCTACAAAACAAAAATTAAACAAAATAGATGTTCCTAAGATAATAGGAAAGTCATTTTCCTAAACTAAAAGACAATCTCAGGATGAATATTGAGAAAGACCTTAGGCCCTACTTAAGATCAGTTTTCCAAGGATTATCCCCTTTTTAACAAGCTTTTAGACTCTGAAATAAATCTTCCAAGAGTCAAAAAGATGTAAGAATGAAATTGATTTTATACTATTCTTCTCAGATATTAGAGAAATAAAAAGTTCAGAGCGAAAATCCTACTTCAACTGAATACTAATAGACCCTGGGCCCACTACTTGTCTGTCAGTCTTTTGTTCATAGTGGCTTGCATGTTACTGTGGTGATGGAAACGATACTACTGGTATTTCAAATACCATCTGGATCCTTCATGATGAGTAGGCTTCATTGGTACTTCCAGACTATGAAGAAAGGCCTAGTGAGCTATATAGAAGTGAGAGTATATTTAGACGAGAGATACATTGATAAATACCAAAGGCAAATATGATTGTGTCATACATATCAGGTTTTTTACATGGCTAAGCTATACAGGGTCGCTATGGGTCGGAACCGACTCGATGGCACTTAACAACAACAACAACAAGCTCTAGTAGCGTAGTGGTTACCAATCGGAATGCAAACCTCAAGGTCACCAGTTCGAAACTACCAGCTGTTTCGTGGGAGAAAGATGAGGCTTTCTGCTCCTGTAAAGATTTACAACCTTGGAAACCCTGTATAGTGTTATGAGTCGGAACTGACTCCACGGCACGTAACCACCAACCACCACCAATATCTATAAAATTGATACCATAATACTATCAGAATAAAAAGTGTACTAGGGATATTATAATAGATGATGTTATGATTTTAAAGATTAAAGATAGGCTATGGCATACTTTCTTTTCCTTTAGCTTATAGCTAAAACATAATTTAATTTTTTTGAAAAAAATTGAGAATGTGCTGTTTTGTTAAAGCAAGCAAAAAGATAAGCTTTCTCTCTGCTGATGGCATGGATTTGCTTTCCCAAACTAGGATTGAGTGTTAAAGAGATGAACTACTAATAAACACTGTCCAAAAGAACATAACCTAAACTTTGCTACAATTAAAATGAGTCTGTGGGTACAGAGTAAGCAATACACAGCTTCTTGCCCTTACAGGGCTTTTTATAGTCTAGAAGAGAATGCAGATATTAAAGACTTATAGAGGTCTAAAATACGTATGTATCTTTAAACACAGACTGTCTTAAATTATTTCATCAAGGATTCTTTGGGTGTGCATCTTGCAGTTATGTGTTTGGTGGGCTACTAGAGCTGTCTTACTAACATCAGACTGTTTGCAGGAGGAGCATTTCTGTGGTTAGAGCAGCCAGCTTATAATAACTGCTGTTCACATTTGGGGTCCTAAATAGTCTTCTCTACAATGTCTGCTGCAATGATTTGGGGATATACCAAAGTCTGTATTCAGGCTTTTGAGCAGATACCAAACCTCTTTTATTTTTTCTTACAGAAGTAATTCATGTTCCTGGTTAGGAAATAATCCAATAGTTGTGGTGCATGTAGTGAAAAATAAATGCCTTCTAACACTCTCCTCCACGGAGCTCTGGTAGCGTAATGGTTACGAATCAGGCTGCAAACCGCTAGTTCAGCAGTTCGAAACTACCAGCTGTTCCGCAGGAGAAAGATGAGGTTTTCTGCTCCTGTAAAGATTTACTGCCTTGGAAACCCTGTACAGGGTTACTATGGGTTGGAATCGACTCGATGGCACTTAACAACAACAACAACAACACTCTCCTCCAACACTCATCTGTCAGTTTGTCGTACTGTGGTGTCTTGAGTGTTGCTGTGATTCTGTAAGTTATACCACGGGTATTTTAAATACCATTAGGGTTGCCCATGGTGGACAGGTTTCAGCTTACCTTCCAGATGAACACAGACTAGAAAGAAGAAGAGATGGACTACTTCTGTATATTTAGTCACTGAAAACCTGGCAAAATATTGAATGATGCAGAAAACATCAAAAGAAGATGAAAAGAATTACATAGAGTCACTGTCCCAAAAAGGAATGGTTGATGTTCAACCATTTCAAGAGGTACATATGATCAAGAGACAGTGATCCTGAAGGAAGATGTCCAAGATGCACAGAAGGCATTGGCAAAGCACAAGACACCAGAAATAGAGGAATACAAACTGAAATCATTCAACAAACTGATGCCTCACTGGAGGCACTCACTCATCTATGTCAAGAAATTTGGAAGACAGCTACCTGGCCCAACTGGCTTGAAGAGATCCATACTTATGCCCATTCCAAAGAGAGGTGTCCCAGTGGAATGCAGAAATCATCGGACAATATCATTGATATTACATGTGAGTAAAGGTAATACAGAAAAGGCTGCAACTATACGTTAACAGAGAACTTCTAGAGGTTCAAGCCAGATCCAGAAGAGGATGTGGAGCCAGGGATATCATTGCTGATGTCCGATGGATCTTGGCTGAAAGTAGAGAGTATCAGAAAGATGTTTACCTGTGTTTTATCAACTACACAAAGGCTTTTGATCATGTGAATCATGACAAACCATGGACAACATTGCAAAGTGTGAGTATTCCAGAACACTTAATTGGGCTCATGAGGAACCTGTACATAGACCAAGAGACAGTTCTTCAAACAGAACAAGGGAACACCAAATGGTTTACAATTAGGAAAGGTGTGCACCAGGGCTTTATTATTTCACCATACATATTCAATCTGTATGTTCAGCAAATAATCCAAAAAGCTGGACTGTGTGAAGAAAAGTGTGGCATCAGGATTGGAGGAAGAATCATTTACAACCTGAGATCTGCAGATGATACAACCTTGTTTGTTGGAAGTAAACAGGACTTAAAATACTTACTGATAGAGATCAAAGACCACAGATCTTCAGTGTAAAGAAAACGAAAATCCTTACCACTATACCAATAAATGACATCACTGTAAATGGAGAAAATATTGAAATTGACAAAGACTTCAGTTCTCTTGCATCAACCATCAACGCTAAAGGAAACAGCAGTCAAGAAATCAAATGAAGTATTGCATTAGGCAAATCTGCACAGGACCTCTTTAAAATGGTGAAGAGCAAAGGTGTCAGTTTGAGAAGTAAAGTATGCCTGACCCAAGCCATGGTATTTTCAGTAACCTCATATGCATGCAAAAGTAGGACAGTGACTAAGGAAAATCATAGAAGAATTTATGCATTTGAGTTATGGTGTTGGAGAACATTGAAAGTACTGTGGACTGCCAAAAGAACAAATAGATCTGTGTTTCAAGAAGTACAGCTAGGTACTCTTTGTAAGCCAGGATGACCAGACTTCGTCTCTCATACTTTGGACATATATATTGTGAGGAGGGACCAGTCAGTCACTGGAGAAGACGATCATGTTTGATAAAGTGGAGAGTCGGAGTAAAAGAGGAAGACCCCCAGTGAGATGGGTTGGCACAATGGCAGCAGCAGTGGGGAAGGTGTAGCAAAGATTGTGAAGTTGCTGTGGGACCCGGCAGTGTTTCATTCTGTTGTGCATAGGGTCTCTGTGAGTCAGTACCAACTTGATGGCACTTAACAACAACAACAATGCTCCCTCTCCAAAAGGAGAGAGACACCCTCTATTCAGATAACACACAGGATCATATGTCCGTTAAACAACCTGTGAAAAGCTGCATCAGAAAGTGATTAGCCCTGGACAGAGAGAGGAGTGTTGTCTGTCGTACTGTTTGTGACTTGTGAGTTGCTGTGATTCTGGAAGCTATGCCACAGGTATTTTAAATACCAGCAGGATCACCTATGGTGGACAGGTTTCAGATGAGCTTCCAGATGAAGACAGACTAGGAAAAGGAGTAACAAACGACTTCCGAATATGTACTCACTGAAAACCTTATGAATAGCAGAGAAACGCTGTCAGATATAGTGCCGGAAAATGAACTCCTCAAGGGAGGGAGAGTAGGTGGAGCCATATATAACATATGCCACACCTTCCTTTTCTCACTTAATACTGGTGCTCTTTTCTGTATTAGTACATCTGGAAAAATAGCTGCATAGCATTCTTCTGTGTGAATGCACCATAGCTTATTAAAGTAGTCCCTTAGTGATTTTTTTTTTCTTTCTGAAAATAGTGCTTCAGTGACCACCTTAGTTTATATTTTTTATACCCCAGTGCAAGTATTATCCCTAGATTTGGAATTGCTGCATCTAAGTGTATGCTTATTATAATTTGTAGTTGACATTGTCAATATTCCTTCCTATTTTTACTCTTACTAGTACAGTAGTTCATGAGGACACTTCTTTTCTTGTGTTCTTGGAGACACTAGGTTGTCACCAAGCTTTTTCATTTTTGCCCATATCTAAGAATTGTAATGGTATCTTATTTTGATATGCTTGCTGGATTATATTAAGACAGAAATTTGATTGTGCTTTGCAAAGGCTTTATAAAAAATTTTAAAAAAAGTCTAGCTAATGCATTTTCTTCATCTCACCTCTAAAACTAATAGACAGTAATGATTTACCATTTTGTCTTTCTTTAAAAAAGTAATATGATCTGTGGGTGAAATTTTCAGTGATTTTCTCTTTGCACATAGGTTGAAGCTTGTAGATTATATAGCAAATTCTCTGTCCGGCCAAGCAGCATAGAAGCGATTCCTTCTATTATTGAAAAGGTACAGTAAATATTTACAAGTTCTTCTAGTGACTACGGAACTGCAGTAGCATAGTGGGTTACATGTTGGTCTCAAACTGCTCACTGCAAAGTCAGCAGTTTGAATCCACCAGCTGCTCCCTGGGAAAAAGATGATTTCTGTTCCCATAAAGATTTACCGCCTTAGAAACCCTATACAGAGTTGCTATGAGTTGGAACTGACTCCACGGCACACCACCATCACCACCGCCACCACCATGAGTCGGAACCAACCTGATGGCACATAGCAGTAGCAGCTTAGTGACTCTTTGTTCTTTTTTTTTTTTTTCAGTTGCTGATAACCTATGATAATTTTATTCTCAATGGAATGAGTAGCAATTAGAAATATGCACAAGTAATTAAAAATGACACTATTAAATAGCTACTCACATTTGATAATCACTGCATTATATTTAATAAAAGAAACAGATAAAATAAGTTTTTTTTTTATGTTTCTCCTGTGCTTTAATTTTTTAGATTATTTTTTAAAATTCATATACAAGTAAAGAAAAATGTATAGTCAAACCCTGTGTGTCCTCTTTTTTTCTTTGAAAATTAGGACTAATACATATAAGACCATCTCTTGATTGGCTAAACAGCATATTATCAATTTTAGTTAACCAACATTTGTATGTGAGATTATATTTCAGCTGTTTCAAAACTGTGAGTTACAGAAAGCTTTTGACACACACTACAGCATCACTGTTTCTGGGAACTCTACCAAATATGAGAATTCAGAAGCAGGTGAAAGTACATGTTCCAGAAGGAAGAATTGGCAGACAGAGCCTGGTGAATAATTTCTAAGATAAAAGTATAACAGAAAATTAATTTTTAAACCCTAAGTATTTTCTTTCTTAGCTCAATCTTTAAAAGAGAATCAATAAAGGTCATTTAATGAACAGTCTTTTAGAACTTATTTTTTAGAGCAGTTTTAGGTTTACAGGAAAATTATGCAGGACGTACAAAGTTCCCTTGTACTCCTCTCCCTCCTACACAGTACTTCTGTTAACATCTTGTATTCCTGTGGCAAGTCTTGTACCATCTTGTATTCCTGTGGCAAATAATGAACCAATATTGATTCATTATGATTAAAGTCCATAGTTTACATTAGGGCTCACACTTGGTGTTGTACAGTCCTATGGGTTTTGGCCAATGCTTGATGTCATATATCCATCATTAGAGTCTCATACAGAATAGTTCCACTACCCTAAAACTGCCCAGTGCCTCACCTCTTCATCCCAACCCCTCTCTTCTTGGCCCCCCTGACGACCATTGATCTGTTCACTGTCTTTATAGCTTAGCCTTTTCCAGAATGTCATACAGTTGGAATTACACAGTATGTAGTACTGGCTTCTTTGACTTTGCGGTTTTTATTGAAGGTTCTCTGCCTTTTCACATATTGATAGCTTATTTTGGTGTGGGGGGGCATTTTAATTTTAAATAAAATTGTTTTTTATTCTTTCTAAGAATGATCCCCCAAATTAGCATTTATTTTATAGTTTCAATTGCTTTTCAAGTGGGATATAATAATAAGGATTGAATTTAAAAATCTATTCTTCTATTTACAATAACCGAAGGCCGTGAGGAGCAGCATTTATGGTCGCCCTGGGACTTGCTATGTTGATATACCTGCAGATTTTGTAAACCGCCAGGTGAATGCAAATTCTATAAAGTGAGTAATAAGATTTTCTTAGTTGTATCATCACAATATTTACCTTTAAAAAAAAATTTGCTTAGATGTTTATAAGTTAATTTTCGTTAGTCTTAACTTATAATGATTTAGTAATTAAACTCATCTTAGTCAAAGGGATTAGTTCTCTTAATTAAATTAAAATTGTTGTTGAGTGCCATTGAGTTGGCTCCAACTCATAGAGACCCTGTATAGTGTTTTCAAGGAGCAACTGGTGGATTTGAACTGCTGACCTTGTGGTTCACAGTCTATTGCTAACCCTACAGTGCCACACCAGGAATCCTATTAAAATAGTATTATTTGATAATTATTTTTTTGGTTTTGAACTTCTCTACTGTAGTTTGTGTGAAAGTTAATAATTACTTTTGAATTTGAGTTTCCTGAACTCATTTGAAATGATTCCTCCAGTTACCATAAATGGTACATGTTAATATGGCATACATTATTGGAGAGTCTGTATGATATAAACCAGGAAGTGAGGCCACTGTTGAAAAAGCATTAGGACTCAGCAAAAAAGTTTTAGTTTGCCTATCCATCTCTCTCTCTGTATTTAAAAATATTTGTACGCAGTTGCTTGTGATTTATCATATACCCTTATTCTTCAGATAAACTCTGGGTGAACAATAAATATGAGGAACGTCTTTTGCATTGTGATCTCAGTCACCCCTGATAAAGATGGTACTGTTGCTAATTTGTCAACCATCTAACTATTTAGTGCATTTGTTCTGTTGTGGAACAGATCATTCTCTAGTGACTACAGGGAGCCAGTGGGCCTCTCTATACACCCAATGTGCCAAGGAATGATTTCTGTTTGGGCGTGCCACACAGAAAGGGTCCTATATTGTGCATAATAGCTGAGTATGCCAATAAAAATAATTTAGGAGGGACATGACAGTCATAGTTAGCTCTTTTGAACTTACTTTAATTTTCTTCAACTTCAGCCTGAACATGCATATGAGCACTTGATGGTCTGTTCCACAGTCTTCCCCTGTTCTTATTTAAGCTGATAATTTGGAGCATTTATACTGTCTCCTTCCACAGATATAGTCAATATGATATCTGTGTCTTCCATCTTGTGAGTTCCATGTAGGTAGTCATCTTTTATACTGCTTAAAAAGTGTATTTGCAATAAATAAGTCATTGGTTTTGAAAAATTCTGTCGTGTAATATCCTGTATTGTTTCCGTCACCAAAGCCCTATTTTCCAACTACTCGTTCTTCCTCTTTGTTTCCAACCTTTGCATTCCAGTTATCAGTGCTGTTTGATTGCATGTTTGATAAGTTTCAGACTAAAGAAGTTGGTAGAATTCTTCAACCAACCACTTTCACTACTACATTGCAGTTGCCATCAACCCAAATTTCATGTTAATGAAATACCTATTTGACTAGTTATTGTTGTTGTTGTCAGGTGCCATCGAGTCAGTAACGACTCATAGTGACCTTTTGCATAGTAGAATGAAACACTGCCCGATCCTGGGCCAACCTCACTACTATTGCCACACTTGAGTCCATTGATGTTGCCACTTGGCCAATCCATCTC